AGCCACATGCCTCCATTCGAGGCTAATGGATGTTCTGTAATGGCATCATTGAACTAATCCAAGCACATGTGCTTCTGTATTGCTGGATTATTTTTTCTAATATTTTGTTTCAGAATTTGCTATGTTATGTTCATATATATGTTGCACTTAGTTTTTTTCACTGTGATTATCTTTATGCTTTGGTAGTCTTTGAGTTAGTCTTACTATGAATTTTGTGCTTTTCTTACTATGTTGTTAAATCTTTTACAAAATGTTATTTCTTCATTAAATTTTTAAAATTAAAAAAACTCCCCGAGAAAGAAATTAAGAAAATAATCTTATTTTCAGTATTTTCAAAACAAATTTAAAGTACTTAGGAATAAATATAACCAAGAAAATAAAAACTGTATACTGAAAACTATAAAGCATTGATGAAAGAAATTGTAAATCACATAATAAGACATAAATAATGAAAAGTAAACATATCCTGAATTTATAGACTGGAAGAATTAATATTATTAAAATATCCATACTACCCAAAGAGATCGGTAGGTTCAAAGCAATCCCTATCAAATTTTCAATGACAATGTTCACAAAAATAGGAAAAACAATCTTAAAATTCATACAAAAATCACAAAAGTTCCCCCAAATATCCAAATAAATCTTGGGCATAAAGAACAAAGCCAGAGAGAAACCACATTACCTGATCTCAAAATATACTACAAGGCTATATAGTTTCAACAGCATTATACTCACATAAAAACACATGTACAGACCAATGGAATAGAAAAGAGAGACCAGAAGGAAATCCACACATTTGCTGTCAATAAGGTGCTTCAATAAAATTGTTAAAAACACATAGTGGGGGAAGGGAAATCTCTACAAAAATGGTTGTAGGAATGCTGGATGCAGACATGGAGAAGAACAAAATTGGACTCTTTCCTTATGCCATATACAAAAATAAATTCAAAATTGATTAATGACTTAAACATAAGATCCAAATCTCCAAAACTCTGAAAAGAAAAACAAGAGGAAAGAGATTCTTGACATTGGTCTAGGGAAAGAGCTTTGGATATGAACCCAAAAGCACGGGCAAGAAGAGTATAGTCAAATGGTATTACATGAAACTGAAAAGCTTTTCTCCACAGCAAAGGAAAGAATTAACACCATGTACAGAATGAAAAAAATTGTAAACCATAAGCTGATAATATAAAAATATATAAGGGTAGGAAAGAACACAATAGTAAGAAAACAACCTGATTAGAAAATAGGCAAAGGACCTAAATAGCCACATTTTCAAAGACATACAAATGACCAACTGGTATATGAAAAAATACTCAGTATCACAACTTATCTAGAAAATACAAATCAAAACCTCTTACTTGTTATAATGGCTGTTATCAAAAAGACAAAACAAGTGCTGGTGAGAAAAAGGAACATTTTTACACTACTGATGGTGATGAACATTAATATAGCCATTATAGAAAGTGTGGAGTTTCCCCAGAGAACTAAAGATAAAACTACCACACGATCCAGCAGTCCCACATTAGGTGTACATCCAAAGCAAATGAAATCAGTACCTTAAAGGGGTTTCTGCACTTCCTTGTTTATTGCAGCATTGTTTACATAACCAGGTAAGAAATCAGTCTATTGATGGATGAGTAGATACAGCAAATATAGTACGGGTACACAGTGCAGTACTCTTAAGTCTTAAAGAAAGAGGAAAAGCCTATCATCTCTGACAAGATGAACTCAATGATGGAACTGGAGAACATTGTACTAAGTGAAATAGTCAAACATAGAAAGAAAAATCAGATGCTGTGACTTATATGTGGAATTTTATAAACTTGGAATCACGGGAAGAGTAGGATGGTGGTACCAAGGGTTGTGGGATGGGCAGGAAATGGTGAGATGGTGGTCAATGAAAGACTGGCATTTATACACAATGGAGTACTACTCTGTTGTGAAGAAGGATACACTTGAGTCATTTATAAGAAAATGAGTGCAAGTTCAGACCATAATGTTAAGAGATATAAATCAGACACAAAAGCTTAAATATCTCATGGTTTCTCTCCTGTGAGAAGCCCAAAATATAAACAAAGATCAAAATAAAAGATAGAGGCCAGGGATTTAACTCAGTGGTTCTGCTGCCTGCCTCGCAAGTGCGAGGACCTGAGTTCAATGCCCGGTACCAAAAATAAATAAATAAATAAAAGATACTTGGAGGCCAGGGATTTAGCTCAGTGGTTCCGCCGCCTGCCTTTCAAGGGAAAGGTCTCAAGTTCGATCCCCAGTACAAAAAAAAAGACCAATAGGAAATAGGAGGACAAATATCTTATAAAAGGGAAGGAGACCAAGAGATGGGGGAAGGAGGGGGAGGAGATAAAAATAATTAAGAAGTATTATGTATGTGTACCAACTCCCCTCGAAGAATGCAATCATTATGTACTGCAAACATGTCCTAATAAAAAATAAAATTTGAAAATAAAAAAGTAATGTAGTGTATACTTACAAATTGCAAGAGAGTAGATCTTAAACATTGTCACCCCAACACGTGCACAAATAACTATGTGAAGTAATGGATACTTTAATTAGCTTGATTAAAGCATTGCATAATGTATACATATGTCGAATCATGTTGTGCACAAAGAATTCATAGAATTTTTATTTGTTAGCTAAACTTTAATAAAAAAGGAAAACCAATGAAATGACAAGCTTGATGAACTACAGGTCTGTGGACATAGATACCTCAGGTGGAGAAATTTCCCAGGGGCTTATGCAGAACATTGTGGAACCAGGTGAGAGGCTTTATAGTAAGAGACCTCACAAGATGGCAGTTCAGCACCAGTCCATCTGTCCCCCTCGACAAAGGCAACTGTAATTCACAAATTGCTTTCTTGGTTCTAGAACTTTCTTCAGCATAAAGAAGTACATTGTTATCCCAAGGCCCAAGTACTTTTCCAGCAGCTGCCCTCTACTACGTACATAGTACTGACACTTGGAAGGGGGCTCCCAGCTTACCTTGGAATGCACAAAGTCTTATTTGTCAAAGCAGCAGGAGCCATCAGTAGATGTTAGTGTTTTAAATAAGCTATTTGAATATCTGTTTTGAAATGTGTGGTAGAGTAACGGTTCCAAACTTGCATGTGCACCATAGTCATGTAGAGATCTTATTAAAACTCAAATTGCAGCCAGACCTGGTAACACATTGCTATTTTCTAGCACTCTGGGAGGTTGAAGCAAAAGGATTACAAGTTTGAGCCCAGCATACACAACGTAGCAATTTAGTTAAATCCTATCTCAAAATGAAAAACAACAACAACAAAACAAAAACCTAAATGAATAAAAGGGCTGGAGACATAGATCAGTGCATAGGCTCTGGGTTCAGTTTCCAATACCAGGATAGCCCTATCCCCAGAGTGTCTTGTTCTGAAGGTCTGAAGGATAAGGCCCCCAAATTTCATTTCTTACACATTCCTAGGTGCTGCTGATATTGATTTCTAGAAGAAATTTTGAGATCCACTGTTTAGGAGAAAATAACGTAATACTTTAGCAGCAGAAACTTGTACTCAAGTCTTGCATGATCTACTTCACTTTTTTATATTCTCTCTCTCTTTTTTTTTTTTTTTTTTT